GAGGGTCCACAGGCCGTGGGGCACCCACCGCTGGCCAGAACTCTGCAGCCTTGCTGCCCTCTGCTCTTCCATGTCAGCTGGTCCATGTATACCATGCTCAAAGGAGCAGGGGCCTTGCAAGACCAGGAGGGACCACCCCCAGGCCTTGCGCTCCTGGCCCTGGGCTTATCTCATCATTGCCATCAGTGGGCAGCCCCGCCCCTCCAGGAGGTTCTCAGGCCCCCTGAGCCCTAATCAGCAGATCTCCCGCCCAGAACACTTTTCCCAGGGACCTTTGAGCCCCAAGAATATCCTAAGGTGTGAGTTCCCTGTGGAGGGAGCCCAGAGGAGCCAGAGCTTATCAGGCCCTGGACCTTTGCCCTCCTTGAAAGGGTGCTAGGGGGGCCCCAGGCTCTGGGAGGTAACCAGGTAACGTCTGACAGTGACCTGGCTCACAGCTGCCTCTGGGCACTGTATCTCCAAACCTGTCCCTGGGCAGCCCTGTCATGCCATGTTATCCTTGATTGACAGGTGATGATGAGGCCACCCACAGTGCAGAGAAGAGGGAGCCAGGTGAGCCCAGCACTACCCACCACCACAGCTTTGCCAAGGGCATTAGCTCCAAGCCCTTTGACCTGTCCCAAACCAAGAACTTGGCCCTTGTGGGGCTGGCCTGGGTAGCCATTTATGCCCTATGGACCATACAGCAGGACCAAGAACAGAGAGGGCCAGGATCCCTGGACATGAAGACGTACACATTCGGACACAGAAAAGCCAGCTAGCTGTGGAGAGGGAGTCTGGGCATGGCCAGGTGGGACCTGGCTTAGGGCTGCTCTTTGTCTGTCCAAGCCCAGCCCTAGAGGCTGTGACCTCCCTGCTGCAACCCAGCACGCTTGGCAACCGCTCACAGCTGCAGCTGGACCAGTCCTGGAAGGCATGCTGGGCTCTTCCACTGCTGCGCTTGAGCAGGAGGGGATGCACCTGGGCTGTGTTGCTGTGTGCTTCCACAAGGTCCTGCAGGGCCCCATTCTGGCCAGCAGCCCCGCCCAAGACTGAGCAGGCCAGGGAGTGGGTAGTAAATGTGAGTGGGGTCCCACAAGGGCCAGTGCCATGACCTTGAACTCAGTATGTATCCCAGGCTGGCCTTAAACTCGTGACTCCTTCTGCCTCAGCCTACTGAGTGCTGGGATTATAGGTATGTGATACCACACCTGGCTGGACTGTTCTGTTCACTCTTGTCCCACAAACCTTTTGGAGACCCCTCAGCAAGCTCCTGGGTATACAGAGGATGGGGTTTCTAGAGAGCCAGGGTCCTGAGCCAGGTGTGACCCATGTGGTCTGGTTCCATACCCAGGGCAGGAAGAAGAGGTCACTGGGTGAGGAGTACCAGGTTCCCCCCACAGTGCCGCAGGGTCTCCTTCATAGGGATGGGTACCCTGTGGTCACAAATGCACTGCCTGCTGCTGCTCAAGAGGAAGCCAAAGCCTAACTGCCCCCTGCCAACCACCCCAGAGGGCTGAGGGTGCTTGGGAGAGGAAGGGGGCAAGGAGGTAGGGGTCTTCCAGATAAGGATGGGGGGTAAGCGGGGAAGCCCAGAGAGGGGCCCAGCTTGATCCTGCAGGGGCCTGTACCTCCTCCTCACTCACCCCCCAGGAATGTGCCCCCCCCCACATCCCTTTCCTCTATTTCCTGCTCCCAGAGGAAACCAGCTCTGATTTGGCTAAAGAACCTAGGCGGATGCCTCCAGGCAAGGGGGCCCGGGGCCAGGGCGGACAGCCACCCCTGCACTGCTACTGCTGTGCCAAGAGCACCCACAGCCCAGGTGTGCGGCCCCGGCAGGGATCCCCTGGGTCCCTGGGACTGGACTGTAGCCCAGGACACTTGACTCCCGCAGCCCCAGCAGGATTTCACAAACAGGAGACCGATGCTGGGAGATGGGCAATGACAGGGTCCTTCGAGAGCCAGCCCAAGTCCAGACCTTCCCCTCCAGCTGCTGTGCAGCTTCTGACTTGTGCCTGTGCTTCAGGAAGGGTCCTTACAGGAGCAGCAGTGATCTGGACACTACTGCAGAAAGTGCGAGACCGCAGCTCCACATCCTGCCTAGGAGAGGGACTGAAAGGAAGTGACCAAGGGCATCGACCGCTGCCCAGTCCTGTTATAGCCTGGGCCTCTCCTCCCAACTGGGCAGCAGTTACCGCAGACAGAGGTGGAACAGGGACCAGGATACATTGCCCTGCCTCCAGATTGGGCCCTGGTCAGGCCCACTGATGCCTGACACCCTGCTCTGGGCTTAGTGGCCATGCCTAGTGGCCTGGGCATTTTTGCACTCTCACCCCTCTGCAGCCCAGCACAGGCTCACCCTGGCTATGTGACACCTCTGTCCTGGCCTGTGGGGAAGGCCCTCTCAGCCCTGCCTTGCCCTATCCAGGAGCTGGGAAAAGGCATTGCTGACAGTGGCTGTAGCCCCCAGAGCCAGCCTGTGCTGATGGGCCAGGAGGGCAGGCAGGAGCCCCGGTCACAGTGATTGTCTGCAGCAGTTCCTGCCCGGGCGTCCTTCCTCAGCACTGGCCTGGCGGTGCTGGCCGGGGCTGAGTGTTTGTTATTTGATTCCTATCCTCTCTCAGCCCTTCTACCAGGTGTCTGGGCTGCTGGGAAGAAACACTCTCCTCTTTCCCACGCTCCCCGACACATTTTAATGAATTAGCTAGAGGCCCCGCCCCCACTGCCTGCTGCCTCCCTGTCCTGTTTGGTGCCTTTAAGGTGGCCGCAGGCCTCGGTCTGGCCCTGGCCAGCTGCCCTTTCTGTGCTGTCCTCCCTAGGCCCGCCCAGCCTGCCCCATCTGCCCCAGCCAGGATCCCAGAACACGCCCACAGCAGCTCACTGTCCTAGCACCCCCAAGAAAGGGAAAGGGGTTCCTGGGGGAGAAGGGGACCCCACCACCACCTTCAATGGGAGCAGTATACCCCCAGGTCAGGATCCTGGGGCCAGCCTCACAGTCAGGGAGGGAGCCCCAGGTCCTGGGCCAGAGGTCACCACAATTCTCTGAGCCCCTTCCCCTCCCTGCAGCCCCTGGCATTTGGGACAAATGTCCACCTTTTGGACATGTCCTTCAATAAACATTTGAGCAGGGTTTACCAGGAACCAGTGCCCCCAGCCTCCCACCATCTCCTCAGAGCGGCTACTGTGGGAGGGAGACCAGGGACATGGTCCTCAGGGTTCTGGCCACAGCACTGGAGCCTGGTGCAGGAGCAAGAGGTAACCCAGCTCTCTGGGGGGCAGCGGTGTCACCTGAACCCTACCGCAGCCAAGTGTGGGGCTCTGTTGCAGATGTGCAGTGGTGACCCTCACTCCTGACCCAGGCAGGGTGACCTCGGGGTAGACTCCCGCCACAGCACCCCTGCCAGGGTTGTCCAAGCCGCCCAGACCTCGCCAGGGCCGCCGCCGATTTCACGGCCCCGTGGCGGCGGCCTCGAGTTCCCACACTGAGCTCACACAGGCCCCTTTGTCTGCTGCCCGCCGCGGATGTCAGCAGGACTTTTCTCCCAGGCTCTGCTCTGCCAGGCATCTCAGATGCCTTCTCCAGGCCCTGCCGAGCCCACCTGAGCGGCAGCCTATCTGGGAACCACCCCTTTCCTGGGGGGCAGCCCCAGGCTTGGTGAGAGGGAAGCAACACCCCCACACCCACCCACCACCAAGCCTAGGACCATGGAAAGACTGGGGGAGCAACCAGGTGGCTCCTGCCTTTCGGAGCACATTCCCCTGCACCTCCTCCTCTCCCAGTCTGGCACCATACTGAGGTCCTGCAGCAATACAGCTCCCTGCATTTAGGAGCCCAAAGGAGCCAGCTGTAGAACCTGAGCCTCAGCATGCCCAACTGTCCAGTGGGGAAGCCCCTGGATGCTGCCACTGGAGCTCTTGGGAGGGGCAGGGAGGCATGGGGTGGGGGGGTGCCCTAGGAGTCAGATGAGTACAGCCAGGCAGACTTGACCTCAGAAAGACCAGCACAGGCTCTCAGGCCACCAGGATGGCCCCAGGGGAACCTGGTCTTGCTCAAATCAGCTGGGTCAGCCTGAAAAGCATCTGACCAGAGCTAGTGTCCCTGCTGGCATCCCCAGGTTCTCCTCTCCAGGGCACAGGCAGAGTGGGGGAAGCCCACATGGATCGGGGAGGGAGCAGCAAGCAGGAGCGTCCTGTCCCCACTGCCCAGGCAGGGTGGTCCCCCTCAGGCCCAAGCCGCCTCCTCAGAATTCCCGGTCTGGCCTCCGAAGGAATTCAAGCCCCAGCATGCCTGAGCCTCCTGTTCTGCGAGGTTGAGAATCATTCCTCCTTAATTTCCAGCGACCGCAGGCGAGCTGTAAACTGTAAAACTTAATGAGGAAATTCATGGCCTCCCTAGCCAGGCCTCCCGGTCAGTTGTTAGAGTGTCAATAAAAAGTGGGTTGGTTTTACAGTTTGGAAAACAGACACTTCAGAATCCCTGTCAGGGTAGCCCTGGCGCCTATCTGGGGCTGGGCACTGGCCAGGCCTAGGGGCCCTGTTCCAGTAAATAGGAACTGGACAGTCGCGATGGCTAAGAGGAAGATGAGAGACTGCTCGCCCAGTCCGCATCAGGAGAAGGCACCTCTGCAAGAGCCAACGCGGTGGGGACACAGGCTGGCCAGGTCCCCTGGAAGTCGCCCTGCGCAGGAAGGACAAGGAGCTCCAGGATCATGTGACCCAGTCGCTCCAGCCCAAATGCGGAGCCTCAAACGGGCCTGGGTCTGGCTGGCCTGGGGCAACGGAGTAAGGCGAGGTCCAGAGCGCGCGGACACACAGGTGGCGGCGGTGGGGCTGACACCCAGCAGCCACCTGGCCTGGTCAACCCGAGGCCGCGACCAGCGCCCCCTGCCGTGGGGTTCGCGGTTACCGAGGCACGCCCACGCTCCCGGCACCGCCCACGCCACGCCCCACGTGGGCGCGGCCCAATCCTGGGCCCGCCGGTGCGCGCGTCACGGCCGTCCATTGTTATGCAAATATAAGGACACTAAAAAGCGCCCTGCACAGCGGGCGAGCCAGAGCCGCGGCGTGGGGGGGCCGCGCAGAAGCTGCGTGGGGGTCTAGCCGAGCCCAGTAGAGCGCAGCCGGGACCTAGAAAGGAACTAAGACCGAGATCACGCGCGTCTCCCGGTCCCGCGAACGCAGTGCTCACCCCCCGTCGCCCGCACTCCCAGGCGCGACTGGATGCGGCGGGGGCTCCCGGCCCGGAGCGCACAGGGGCGGCGTGCAGGACCCGCGGGCGCCGCACCCTCCATGCGCCCAGGCAGCCGGGGGCCCGCGCCGAAGCCGCCGCCGCCGCGCTGAGCTCCGGCCCGGCCGTCGGCCCGCGCCCGGCGGCAGCATGAGCCAGGCCGAGCTGTCCACCTGCTCGGCGCCGCAGACGCAGCGCATCTTCCAGGAGGCCGTGCGCAGGGGCAACACACGGGAGCTGCAGTCGCTACTGCAGAACATGACCAACTGCGAGTTCAACGTGAACTCGTTTGGGCCTGAGGGCCAGACGGCGCTACACCAGTCGGTCATTGACGGCAACCTGGAGCTGGTGAAGCTGCTGGTCAAATTCGGCGCCGACATCCGCCTGGCCAACCGCGACGGCTGGAGCGCGCTGCACATCGCCGCGTTCGGTGGCCACCAGGACATCGTGCTCTATCTCATTACCAAGGCCAAGTACTCGGCCAGCGGCCGATGATGCCCGCCGGACCTGTACCTGACCCGGCCTGGGCCGCGCCCGTGTCATCTCTGCTGTTCCTTCCCGCCAACTACCTCGGTGTGCGCCGGGCTCGCCGGCCCTGGCGCCCGCGGCCACGGAGAACACCGCCCGACCCCGCACGCGCCCCTCGCCGGCCAGCGCCTCCCCGCGGCGGGCGCTGCGCCGTGCCTCGCGGGTGGGGGCGGGGCACGCCCGGCGCCTTTGAAACCTGAGTGCCGCAGCCAGCGAGCTCGGAACCCGGACACCGGATCCTGCGCCCAGCGCTTTCCTTCGGAGGTGAAGGCGCGCGGCAGACTCGGGCGCGGGATGACGAAGACCCCCACGGCCCCTGTATTTATCACGTGTGTGTATACTTGTGGGTGAAGTTTGTGCGCCTGATTTTTTTTGTTGTTGTTTGGAAAATATTGTGCGTGGTCAATACGGTTTTATGGGGGAAAGATTGATTTTTTTTCTAGTCTTAAAACTTAAAAACTTGAGTCTACCATTTCTTGGTTGCACTGAAAATACCGCCTACCCCACCGTTTTCCCGCCCCGCCCCTTCCCCGCCGCCCCACTCCTCCCTTCCCTGCGCCTTTGGGGAGCCCCGCCCGCCGTGGGTAGCCGCCACCCCCGCCCCCATCCGGCCGGGTTTTCGGAGTACGCACTAGGCCCTGGGAGTCACCGCGCGGGGCTGGCGCGGGGCTGGCGCGGGGCTGGCGCGGTGGGCAGGGGACCTCTCCCCTCCGAGTGAGCGCTAGTGTAGTTAACAGTCGGTTGCACACTTTTTAAAAGAAAAGTAAATGGATTTGCCACGATTAAATGTCATAACATTTATGACAGTATAAAATATTAACCTATTTTAAAGCCAAGTTTTAGTTGTATTTTTGAGTCTTGGTTATGAACCCCATTTTAAAGGGCGTTGTATCCAGCGTTGTTAAGGCAACAGTGTACCCATATTTATATTTTTATAAAATGCCTATGTGACTGTGAATCTCGCGTGCGATTGCTAGTGAGCAGGAGGGTCGAGCACGCTGCCTCGGCCTCCCCGGCTCGCGGATCATGCCCGAGGAGCCCGCCGTGGGGGAGGGGCTGCCCGCGGAGCTGGGCCGGGCCGAGGAGCCCTTCCTGGTTTCCGCGGTTCCAATTCTCTATGCAACCCCACACCCCTTGTTGTTTTGATCCTGGGAAATAAAAGGGAGGCTGAATTATTCAAATTTAAATGAGGTTTCCCCTTCACAGAAGTGCTGCTGACCCTGCGTGCAGAAATGGGGCGCGCTGGAGGACACAGGTGGGTGGAGGCGCTTCGTGCTGGCCGGGCATGCTTGGCCTCTCCTCGCTTTTATGAAACCGCGTGAGAAGAATATGTCGCTAATGCTGCGGAGCAGGCAGACACTGAAACAAGCACAGATCACTCCAAAGGGAGGTCTGTATTTTTTCTACATGCAAATGCCTTTTTAATTATGTTAATTAATGTTAAGACTTCCAGGCTTATGTCGAAGCTCTGTATGAGTCCCGGTTTGATCACTTCCAACTGGATAAAGTCTGCAGCACATTCCTGAGTGTACGATAGACTTGTAACCCGGAATGAAAAATTTAAAAATAAATTTTTCATTTGAACTTTTTATATTAAAAAATTCTGGGGTTTTTTTGGTCTTGGCACAGGTCACAGGTATCCTTTTCTGGGGAGGATCAGACCTTTCCCTTCCTCTAGGGGACCCCCAGGCAGAGCCTCAGTAGCCACATCCATCCAGGATGACCCCAAAGGACTTAGGAGGCACAGGGGCCACACTGACCCTGCAGCTGTTGTCACCCTTGCTTTGGGTTCTTGCTCTCTGTGCCCATCCAGCCTCAGAACCCAGTCCTGGGTGACCAGGGCCCTCTACTGTTTGCCCAGGCCCCAAAGGGCTACAGGTTTGGGGGACCTAGAAGTTGCTTGCTCCCTACAAGCAAAACGTTGCAGGCCTGGGCAGTCATTCCCAGAGGGTAGATCCAGTGAAAGCTCAGGGATGAGCCTGGTCCCAGCATCCGCAGTGTACAGAACTGGTACCCAAGAGCACAGGCTGGAGTGTGGGGCTGATGGGAGGTTCAGGGGAGCCGCTGACAGGTTGGGGGCCACCATAGCAGCAGACAGCTACAAAGCAGAAGCCCTAGAGAGTGGGCCAAGTGTAGGCAGGGAAGCTTTCCTGCTGATACCCCAGGACCCCTGTGGAACCAGCTGTCAGCCTCCCTGTTCTGTCCTGTCCAGGTCCTGCTCCTACCCTGGAGGAGCTTAGTCAGCTACACAGGGCTTTGGTGCCTCAGTACTGGCCTAGAGCCTAGAGCTGCACTGTCCACAGGCTTCCACACAACTGGTGGGCTACGTAATGGGAACACGCTGGCCTTGGGATGTCTGCCCTGGGCCAGCTGGGGCATCCGGAGGGTAAGGTTAGGCCTGGGTGCCACCAAGCACAGGAGAGAAAGACCTTGAACATGCAAACTTTCAACCTGCAGTAGGCCCAGTGCCTGCTCCTGCAACACATGCCAACCCTACCCAGAAGAATCTGGTGGCTTCCAAGCCTATGGCTGCCACCCTGGAGGAATGGCTCAGCTCCCCAGCATGGATACCAGGAGAGACCTGCTGTCGTCCCCCAGGAGAAGCTCCCTGCCACAGCCTAGGTGGCAGGCTACCAGGCTGCTCCATTGAGCAGAGTCCTACCAGACTCACGTACTTCTGCCAGCCATAGGCCGTACTGCAGGCAGACCCCTGGCAGAGCCCAGGTGTCCAGAGACCCAAACAGGATGGTGAGGTCAGCCCTCAAACTCATCCTGCAAGAGACCTGGGTAGAGAGGGGCTACCCAGGCCACCTGGCTGGTGAACAGAGGAAGAAGTCGCTGGCTCTGGACATGACCAGGGCAAAGCTGTGCTCCCCCTCCAGGGCCTCTGCATGCAGCCACCTGCCCATAGGTGCTGGCCAGTGGTGTGTTGTGCTGGTGGCCAGTGGCCAGTGGACTCCCTGGGCCATCCTCAACGCTGGTGAAGGAGGAGACACCAGAAGCCAGGAGTAGTAGTGCATTGTTGTACTCCCAACATTCAGACAGAAGCTAAGACAGGAGAATTACCTGGATGACTTAGCGAGTTCAAGGTAACCTCAGTTACACAGTGAGACCCTGTCTCCAAAGGAAAGTGGGCGACACAGGAGACCCATTTCCTCCTCTGCCCTGCCCTCCAGGGTCTGCAGGGTGGGTGGGGCTGTACAGCCATTGAGTGGGCAGGCCTGCCCTCAGGAGCCCCAAGGGAAGGTTTGGAAGACAGCAAATGGCCCAGCTGTCTCAGGGGCGGCCCCTGGACACCTAAACAGGAAGTGCAGGGGAGGTAGCCAGGTGCAGGGAGCAAAACTTGCCTGGAAACGTGCCGACTGCACAGGACTCTGGAGCCCTTGAAGCCAGCAGGAGAGGACAGAGGGGCGCGCAAGAGCCTGCGAGGGCCTTGAAGGCCGGGAAAGGGGACGCAGGCAGCTGGGAACAAAGCCGGGAGCGGGAGGGGCGTCCATGGGCTGTCGAGGCCCTCGGAGGCCTCGACGAGACCCTCGGGCTGGGGGCTGCAAGCGCCCGCACCCCCGCCCCAGTCCCGGCGAGCATTACACGGCTCGCGGTTCGTGGACTGTTGGTGTTTCTCCCCCCAGCCGCGGCCCCATTCATCTCAAGGCCTCTGCCCTCTGCAGCGCAGCGCTCCGCAAGCAGCTGCTATGCTAATGAGGAGAGCGGGCGGGGCCTGGGCCGGAGGGAGGGGGCTTTGCTGGGAGCGCGAGTTGTGGTCAGACTGGGGTTAAGGGTGGGGGCGGGGCTAGCGACGGGGCAAGACCCAGAGACTCCAAGTAGCCCACACCCGCTCTCCCCAGCCGGAAGGCGCGAGGCCGGCCACCCCTGGCCTTCGGGGACCACAGCCCACTCCCTGACGCCTGACGGGAGGGATGGGGGCTACCCTGGGGCCCGGGAAGGGCGACGGGCCTGGCTCCCAGGTCTCACAATAAGCCCATCCGGCACGGATTGGGCGGTGTCCTCCGGGTACGGGCGCGCGGGGCGGGCGCAGGCGGCCGAGGCAGGCAGGTCCGTCGGACGCGGAGCAGAGGTGCTGCCGCTGTGTGGCCGCGGCCCGCACTGCGCTGACTCCGGCTCCACCCGCCTTTCGGGGGCCCCTGGGGTACCCTGTGAGCCTGGGCCCGGCCGGGCGCCACGGAAAAGGGGAAACCCAGGGTGGCCACTGGACGGGCTTGGCACAGCGGGCAGGTCCTCAGCAACGGGCGCCAGAACCTGTGGAAACCGGCTCTGCTGCGTGGATGGGCTGTGAGAAGGCTCCAAGGGAAAAGCCAGGCAAGGTGCAAAGGTTTACTTAGGGGACAGGAGCAGGACAGGCCATTGTGGCCCACGCGGGTGTCCCTCAGGCTAAAGCCAGAGCACTGCTTGCTTTGGACAAAGTTGGATGGGTGGGAGCTGGAGATTTAGCTCAGCGGCATAAGCGCCTGTCTTGCAAGCAGGCAGTCGTGAGTTCAATCCCCGGTACCGATAAAAAGGAAAAAGACAAAAAAAAAAAAAAAAAAAAAAGTTGGATGGGTGTTTCTGAAGGTGGCACTTGACTGAGGGCACCAGAGGCAGGGGCAGCCATCAGGGTGGTAGGCCAGTGAACCTGGCATTGGCTCCAGGCTCCTGTAGTCCCAGGGACACCCAAACCTGGAGTATGGCCTTTCACAGCCATGCATCGCCAACTGCATGCCCAGGGGAAGGAGACCATTCCAGGGCCTGAGACAGTGGTCACTGCATGTTACATTGTAGACCCTGGGGACCTTGGGCGTGGATGATGGGGGCTGATCAGTGACGCTGCCATGGAACTCAGATCCCATCCAGTACAGGTGGTCCCAGACTGCAGCCTCTCTGACACCTCCTGCATTCTGTCCAGGGAAGTGGGCAGGGGGTGTGCAGGGAAAGAGCCCTCTTCAGAGTAGCCTGCCCCAGGACAGGGGATGCCCTACCCTCCCTGGAGTGTATGGAGTTCCTCACAACAGTCAGTGCCATCTGGTGCCTGCAGATGAGAAACCCCCAGGGGGTTGAGTAAAGACATCTCATAAACTTTCCAAGGAGAAAAGATGACACTGGAAAAAGTGCTGTCACACCCCAGAAGTATTTCTCTCACTTCTAAAGAAGTTGGGGCACATGTACCAGGCCTATAGTTGACATTAGGGTCCTACTTCTTGGATTCGTGAGTGGTTAGCCCAGAGCCAGCCACTTGGACCTCTATCACCTTTAGTGATACTTCCTGCAGCCCAGCATGGTGACACACACCAGTAATTGCAGCCCTGTAAGAGGGTGAGACAGTATTACAAGTTTGAGCTCAGCCTGGACAACTTAGTGACTTAGGGAGACCCTGTGTCAAACTTTTTTTTAAAAAAATAGAGCTGGGGATGTAACTCAGGGCAAAGGCCACAGAGCACATCACGATGGCTATGTGTGTGCCCACGCAGGTATGCATGCACACACACAGACAGGACATTTCCTGAAAGTTGTTCTTGCACAGCTGCCTACATCCCTTTGGTTTCATGATCAGTCTCACTCCTGACTGCAGCATCCCAGCCCCACCCTCACAAGGAGTACTGACTGCCCGAACTCCCAAGCCATGCAAAACTCGGTCCCTATCTATGCCCTGCTGGGGCTTCCTCCCAGGAAGGGCATGCTGCATGCTCTAGGTTTGTATATTTGTACTGAAGGAATTTTTAGAAATTCAGGCTTCAGCAACATGCTTGAACAGGAAGCAGCAGCCGTTGTAAGGTGTGGACTACAGCAAGCCTGCCATGCTGAGAGCCACACAGCCCTAGTTAGGGAGTTGTGTGTCCAGATGCAGGGTAGTATGCCCAGGGCACCCTGATGAAGATGAGCACTGAGGCCCAAGTGCACTCTAAGGTGCCCCCATCTACCACATAAGCATAAGGAACTGAGAACTGAACCCAAGGCCTTCACACTGAGCTAATCTCCAATTCTTCATTCAGGACTGAACTGAAACTTGCCCAGGATGAACTGAAACTTGCAATCCTCCTGCCTCAGCCTCCCAGAGCACTGGGATTACAGGTGTGAGCCACCACAGCCAGTGTGTCTCTTATGCTGGCAGAGAAGAATCTGCCAAAACCTGGGTTCCTGAGGCCAAGCTTTGAAGAAAGTTCTGCTGCCAGTTTTCCTTGTAGGACCTGCATACATGTCTTTTCTCATTTTGATTGAGGCTGGGATAAATTGTTAGGTCGATCATTCCTATTCCTAGAAATCAAGTTTGTGGTGCTTTAATTTGCAAGCAGTAAAACAGCTACCAAGAGTGTGATGGGTTCGGACAGAAGCTGTGCCCGGCCAGAATAAAGGATACAGGTCAGCACAAGGCTCTCCAAGCCCCCAGCCAGCTCCTCCCACCTTGACCAGGCCATCACTGAACCCCCACACTTCGCCATAGGTGCAGCTGCATGCCAGATCCTCCAGCAGTTCGGCTTGAGGTAGGCAGGGACACTGCAGGTGGGGAAAGCACCCTGCTGAGGGTAACCCTGCCCTCGAGTGGGCACCAGGGAGGGGAGAGGAAAGGAAGGGCAACACTAAGCCTGGAGGCACCTAGAGGCTGGCATCT